TAGGGCGGGGACTTTGGGGAAGGGGCGGGGAAAGGGCGGGGTTGGGGCGGGGCCGGGGGTTGGAAAGGGGCGGGAAAGGGCTGGGGCTAGGGCCCGTGGAGTGTTCCTTTTTTTTTTATTTTTTTATTTTTTAAATATGGTAACCCTAGAGGTATGTTGTGAGGTTTAACTAGCTCATGTGTGGGAGGCACTTTGAAGCTGAACCGTGGCCTGAGGTTTATAACTGCTAAGAATTACCAGGGCCTCACACACTTTGAAGCTTATGTAGGCCAAGCTCATTGCACACAAAATAGCTCCTTTCTCCTACAAGCTTCTTCTGCATCATCCTCCCACCCCCCTCTATTTTAGGGATTCCCTGCATCTCCCCCCCGCCACAGGTTCTGCATGTCCCCCATTCCCGTTCCTCTTATACCAGTTTTATAACTGAAGAATGGTTACTGTGCAAAATGATGGCTAAGGACCTCATGTTGCAGTATTTGTGCTCCTTCTTTGTGCTTTACTACTACTAGCACTTCAAGAAGAGGACACCCAAGGGAATAAAGTGCTTTGCTGAGGGTCCAACTTCTCCCAGTGTACTGCAGTGCTGCACAGATGTAGTGCAGTGGAAACAATACAGGATGAGAACCGCTTCCAAAACTCATGCATTCTTACAGATTCTCACCAGCATGTTGAGAAGGAGTAAAATGAAGAAGGCGGATTCTCCAGCAGTAGAAAGAAACACATACCAGAGAAAGAGTTGTTATATTAAATGATGGGCTAAGTGCACAGAAAAAGAAAAAGAATGTGTAATATTCTAGACCTTTCTGTTTGGTGGAACTTCTCGCAATTGGGCACTATTTATTATTTCTTTGAAACTGATATACAAGGGGCAGCGTGACAAAAACATATAAACTACCTTCGGTATTTGACCATTTGCAAGGCTTAGCCAACATCTACCTGTACCCTGAGCTTGGCTACCAGCTGACATCTTTATCAGATAGGCCACCCTATGTTGACAATGATGCAGTGTGAGATCTAACATCAGTTAATACCATGCTGTTGAAGAGGCAGTGTTACCCCCCAAAATGGATTTTTGGGGCACTGCTATAATAATCTGCCTATTGCCCCCTTAGTCTGTTCTTCCCAAGGTAAAAGTTTCCTGGAGTTGTTAAGGAAACACTAAAGAACACGGATATAACCTTCCGCTAAAGTAATTGACACAGGCAGTATACTTTATTTTAGAAAGAATACATCTTTTTATTAAAATAACAATCCCCTACTACAATATGATCTAAAAATCCTAAACAAGGCACAAAATCCCAGAGACACAACAGGGCTGCCCAGAGGGGTGTGTGTGTGTGGGGGGGGAGGGGGCGCAAGTGGGGCAATTTGCCCCAGGCCCTGCAGGGGGCCCCCACGAGAATATAGTATTCTATAGTATTGCAACTTTTTTTATGGAAGGGGCCCCCGAAATTGCTTTGCCCCAGGTCCCCTGAATCCTCTGGGCAGCTCTGAGACACAAATCCCTTAATACAAATTAAACAGCACTTAAACTACAATAGCATATAGTTCAAATGGTTCTAAGCAAGTGATCTAGTGCAAGTGGCCAGTTTGCAACAAATTGCTGACAGCAGATCTTAAATTGCTTTAAAATTACATAGACAAAATATAGTTAATGCACACACATTAAATACTACATACCATCCTAAACTATACTTACTTAAAAGATGATTAAGCTTATTCTATAAATCGGTTACTGCTTGATTTTTAAAAGAAAATAGCTGCTGCTGTTCAGTTCCTGGTCAGTCAGCTCTGCTCCGCTTTCTTTGCAGTAGCTTTTGTATGGCTTCTCTTGCTGGCGCTCCCTGCATGCCTCTCTCCTTCTCGACTCAGCTTCTGGATTCCAAAACTGTTGTTGGCAGTTGGCCTTTTATGCTACGTTGTAGCTCTTTCTTTACATACCTTCCTAGTCTTAGACAGTTACCTCCCTCGCACGTGCTCAATCCTGACCATTACCTCCGAATTCCGAACGACAGTTCTGACCTTTAAAACAAGTTGTGACCAGTATGAGTGGGTTCTGACCAGTTAGCTGCTTAACTGACTGAACTGTCACCCCTTACTGCACATGCCCAATAGTTGCCAATCTTGCACATGCTTACTGTTGTCCTTACCTCAGAGCTGTGATTCTGCCGAGGCCCCACACCCACACTTGGCTTTTTGCCAGGGCACCTTCCCCCCGCACCCCTCCCAGAAATCCTAATTTTTTACTGAGCATGCTCAGGGTCCACAGCATCCATCTCAGGTGCAGTGATTTTTACTTATTCAAAATGGAGTTCAGAAATACACAGTAGAGACTGGAGAATTTTCTCTGGTAATATTCCCCTTCTTGAGGGTGTGATAGTATCTATTATCTGACCCTCACTTTTACTAGTGAGTTCAATGGGTGTTTGACCTTGCCCAACATTGGCTCAAGGCTCCTATTTAGGACCAAGCATGACTTTCTTCTTGTTGGCACAATAACTCATTACCCCGGATTCTGCCTTACTAGAATGATATGACCATCTTTGGCTCTATTTTAAAGCTCCTGAGCCTCCTTATATCATGCACCGGAATAAGTGTTTCACTGCCACCAAGATTTGAAGCATTAGGATTACCATACGCAAGATGTAAATTTTTCCTTTAAAATTTACTTTTATTGATAGGATGGTAGACAGTAATCACAACCCTGTGTGTATACCAGCTTTGATTTCTATAACAGGTGTCTTCAGTTTGCCAAAACTGAGACAATTGCTACAAGCTTTTAACAATTACATTACATAAACACGTATAAATGGTAACTTAATATTTATGTAACTAAATCTTAAACTATTATATAAACTTTTACAATCATTACAAAAAATTTAAGATTGCTTATGTTGCTTTCTTTTAAACTTTCACACAAACAGTGACATGCACTTGTTTACAGTTTTTAAAGTATTCTTAACAAGTTTGCCTTCAATTTCCAACTTTTCCTAAACCGTTTTTAGACATTTTAACAAACTGTTTTCAATTTCTAATCCTCTGGGCAAATTGGAATATAATATTTTTCTGGTCCAAAATATTACAGATATTACTCAAACAATATGTTTCAGTTATCCATACAATAGGGTGCAGCATTTTATTTAAAATTCAAGTGGCAGTAGATGACCATCCCAAAAATACCTCTCACCAATTGTGTTTTGTATCTTTTTTACTTGTTCCACAATTTGTTTAATTTCATCAGTTGAGTGATGTATAGTAATCATACTTTTACATGCATTTTCCTGTGCCTTTTGCAAGTATCTTTGCAAATCAGAATGGTTTAGCAATTGTTTAACTAAACTGATATTCATACTCAGTGGCACTGGGTTGACACTTTTGGTCCTTCACTTCCTTATATTCAACTTCAGGTAATGTAAAGTTAAAATCACATCCAATCACTGAAACTTTATTACATAAACATTGACTTTCATAAGGATTATGTCTTGTATTAAACAAATAATTAACATTAAACTGTTCTGCATCAACTTCTAATGCATACACTTGTATTTCCTATATACACAACCACAGATCCAGTGTTAAAAAATGGATTTAGTTGACAATGGCATTTTCCTTTTTTCTGGATTTAAACAGATATTATAAGATTGTATAACAACATTATTACAAATATATCCACTTCCATGTTCTTCCATACAAGTTTTAAGTTCTACTGTTTTCCATATGGTGGCTTGATTTATGGCCCATAATTTGTGTTCCATTGGTTGCATTACACCATAATTGACGTTTAATCCCAATCCCATAATAGGGGATTGCTATTCTATTTGAACATAAGACATTTCATTTTGCTGCACATTATATGTAAAATTTATTATTTTCCACCAAGAATATAAATTTTGCTCCTAGATAGTAACCTATTTCAACATACTACTTATTTCAAATGGCAAAATACCACTTATAATCAGGAATGGAATATCTTTTACCAAATCATTGGTCCATGTTTCTGCTTATATGCAAGCTAGTGCCATAGACACATTGCTTTGAAGCACTTCTATTGTTTGTAATGTACTAGAACTACTTCTTGCAACCTTTTCCAGCCGGGGAGTAGACTAGCTATCAAGTAATGACCAGCACTTATTTAATTGAGGGGTATTTTTAGACGTTTAGACAAAGCACCTAAATGCTGTTCTATTGCATCTAATTTATAAGGAATACTCCCTTGTCGATACTGTTTAGCACCGTAAGACCTGTTTCTGCTCCTCCTGAAACTGTACCAAATCTCTTTTGACTCTTTCAGTAGAGGGCTTTGGCAAAATCTCTGAGTTTGGCTTTGCACCCATCTTTTCCATTCCTTAAGTAATGGTTTTATATACTTGCACATTGTGGTTGTATGATTGAGATGTTCATGGGGGTTAAGTCTAGCACACTCCATTTTTAAGGAATATGTGGGTTCTAATATTAACTGTCATTTGACATCTTCTTTTATCACATAAGGACCAATTTTCACTTGATTTGGCTCGGATATCCATATTACAGTAAAAGTTTTATTAAAACTATAAGAACCAATATATGGACCAATAATTTTACATATTCCACTCTGACCTTCTCATTATAGCTGTACTGCCTTCACACCAATATGAAAACACAGTTTGAGTCTTATCTTTTTCATATCTACTCCCCTGTTCTATTAGCTGACTAAACCAAGGTCCTTGTAAACTTAGCTGTCCCCTTAGTACAACCTTTTGCTGAGATGTACACTGAAATACTACCCTGCAATATCTGCCTTGTGAGTAAACATTATTAAATGTCATTCTTTATACTCAGATCATTATGAGCCCACCTTATTAATATAGTTTCTTTTTCCTCTTTTATCCACTTAGGGGCATACCATGCTATAAAAGTATATTAGGAAATTGAAGGACATGGATTTTTCCATATGGGTATAAGAGTAGTAGTGGTTGGATTAATTGTGACAACCAGGACACTAGTGGAGCCGGCAACTATCCCAGAACCATCTCTTAACATACACTGCCATTGTCCTGACTGAACTGCTTTTTCCTGTATTATTCCTTTTTCCTCTTCTATAAACCAGTTACATTCTGTTTGTCCTGGTGAAGGGGAAATCATGGGTACATAAAACACCCCAAATAGTAGGAGCAGCAAAAGATAGAGAACATCTATGGGTGTCTTCTGCAACTATGTCTGTATTTTCTACAGATCCCATTATGATCTCAATTCAGTTCTTTATATTTTGACTATCAGGCTGAGGGACTGCAAAAAAGACAGCTAACCTCAGTATTAGTAAGAGTAGTTAAATTAGGTTTTCTCCATTGTATTGTCGCTCTCAGTACTCCAGTCTCCGAACTCACACCACCATACCAAGATCCAGCAAGCACCTATGCCAAGAAGAGAGAGGATAAATAGGGCTTCACCTTTTATCATCTGGGTTGCATTTATTATGTCTATAAAACAAATAACAGAAAATGTCTCTTCTCCCATTTTAGCAGGACTATAAACTTTTTACCAACAGCAATTTTTACTAGCTAAAACAAAACAAAAAAGTCCATTTTATTCCCTATTATAATTTATATGGAAATTTGATAAAAACAACAAGGTTTATATTCTTAACCTCTTATAAAACTTAAGTGTTATACACACATTCACACAACTTTTTGATTCATTCTTTATTAGATTTACTATCACTGAAGGTTCCTTATCGTATTACTCTGAAAACTTTTACATTTACCTAATATTTATTGATTTTTTAACCTCTTTCCCCCCTATATATAGGTATAAGCTATATGTCCTTACTAAAGTTTCCATGGTATAAGTTATTGGAAGCACATTATTTGATCTATTAAAACCCCTGGAAACTTCCTAACTTCTAGCGGAAGTTAATCTATATCATTATTGGGAGACTTTTAATGGTGGTGACGGTGCTCTATCTATCATCGTCTATTTATTTGCCTGGTTTTGAATTCATTATAGTTCCCTTCAGTTTAGTTAGGTCATTTTTATACATTTATCTCTTTATCTGTAGCTAGTTAAAGAAAACAAAACCTTTTTTTCCCAAAACTGTTACAACTTTTACTCAACTGCCACTACAT